ATATATATATAAGAGAGGGGGAGAGAGAGAGAGAGGTAAGTAGGTAGGTAGGTCTGCATGGCCAGAGAGAACCACTTCTTTAGCCACAGTGTTTTACAGATACTGTCCTTTCTGGGACCTCATTTTTATTATTCATTGGCTAATGGTCTCTGATACAGGATATCAAGTTAGGTCTTTAGAAATATGCTCAGAATGTACAACATCCTGGCCATTTTTTAACATATCCAGTCCTAACCTGGGATTGTACATTGTGCAGAGAGATAGTCATGGGAAAATTAATGGCATATGAAGCTGCAATGCATACACATTTATCTCAGAGTATAGTGAGTTGAAATCTTCAGAGACCATAAATATAAGTATTCCATTGTCACATTGAGTTCACACATTGCATAAAGCCAGGTTGTCTGACTTCAGATAAATAAGCCAAACCCAAACAAATCACATTCTGGTTTAACACAATATGTGAACACAGCCATAGAGAAGCTTGTACATATTACTGTTTTCCTAGTCTCAAAATATTTATTTTATTAAAACCCAAAGTTTCTGCACAAGATGATTACACCATCACCTATAACTACCTTAATAGGTGGTGGTACAATGCATACATGGATATGTAGGAAAGTAACTTTAGTTAATTACAACAAATTAAAACAGTTGCAAATTAGTTTTCTTTAACTTAAAAAGAGAAATGGACAGGACAATTTTAAGGAAAGGAAGGACCAATGAAATAACTCTTTAACAAAGTATTTGCTTCTGTGTGCATACACCAAGAAGATAAAGGCAAACCAAAGATGATCTATAAAAGAAAGAAGATAGTGAGCTCATCAAATAGTTAAAAATTGTTTTGTGCAAAAAGAGAGAGAGAGAGAGCGATGATGTGGACATCATTATAATTATGACAATTCATTTTTCAGTAACAAATAATCCAAGGAAGCTTATAAAAGACTGCACTTTGCATTTGCGTACTTAAAGCAGCCCTTTAATGAACTTGCAGCTGTCTTTCAACAATGACCACATTATGCTTGTGAATTTGATTATGTCTATTTGTGGCATTTAATAAATTCTACATAAAGGCCTCTTCTATATCATTAACAGATATTTCCTTATGAAATGCTCATGGTGACCAACAGAGGGCGAAATAAAATTCTAAGAGAAGTTGATAGAACCAGGCTGGAGGTAAGAACTTTGTGTCTAGTTACTGCTTTGGTAATAGAAGGAAGTCTTGTAAGGATATGGTTTGCTTATTATTCATAAGCTTACAAAATAGTATATTAATCTGAAATAACTGCTTTGTTAAAACAAACCTAAACTAACAGCACAAATCTATGCATGCCTACTCAGAAGTAAGCTTCACTGAGTTGAGTGATCCTTTCTGAAGTAAATATGTATAGGATTGGAGCTGGAGTTATGGTTATTTATCACACAAATGACATTCCATGAATAAGCAGCATGTGTTTAATATCAGGACCTTGAAATTTGTAATTAGATTAATGTACTGCATTAAGCCATCATTGCTTAAAAATAAGTTAACCAACTAGATTGTGCTAAAGCATAAACCACAGTGTTGTGGAATTTTTGCCAAAGACAGCACAGCGCTGAGGAGAAGAGCCGTGTTTATTGCAATGATCATTGGGTGCCTACTTTCCAAGAAAGGGGGACCCTGAACAATAGAAAGGCAGAGGTTCTTACACACTTTGGGGTTGAGAGGCAGGAAATCCTTGGCATCTGATTGGTGGGCAAGTTTTGGATAGGTGTTCAACAGGGGACAAGTGTTTTTCTATAGTGAAACAAAAACCATGCTTTTATAACAAGGCAGCCTGAGTCAAGGAATCCATTGTCAAAGAGAATGGAAGGTTAAGAAAAGCAGGCGCGTGATTTTCTTATTAAGAATGGAATTCCTGCTGTTTCTCACCTGGTCAACAAAGGCTTTCTCACTGAGGCTCCCCTCTGGACAAATCCTTAACTAGACAGGTGATGGCCCTCTCATTGTTTTACTGTAATAGTGTCAAGAGGGCTATTTCAGCAGTGGAAACATGGTCATCCTTGGGTCATCCCATAGGTCCTGTTTTACATGTGCAAGTGGGGGGGGGGAAGGAACAGCAGAGGGAAATGGGGGAAAGAGTTTGCTGTAGAGAGGCAAGGGGGAGGGGGGAGAGAGTTTCCAGCTTTATTTTATTATTTTTCCATCACAACAACTTACAAGTCAGCTTCTTTATAAGAGCAAGCATTTATTGAATCAGAAAATATGCATGAATCTGATGATTTATGGTATCATTCTAGTTGAATCAGAAATTCTTGTCGCAGCTAAAATTCTCAAAACCAATATAGCATAACTAAATTGTAAGAATAACCATAGGTATCATAGTGTATTGCCACGTTTTTCCTCAAGGTTACACTCTATTTGTAAAACTGTTTTCAATCATATAATATAACGATGTCACCAGAGTGCATAGGGCCCAATTTTTCAGTCCCCCCACCCCCAGCTTAATGCATCTATTTTAAGACTTAAACTGTTTAAAAAAAAAATAGCAACTGCCATCTAATTTTGGTAATATAATTCTAGGGGAATATTTAAAAATAGGGTTGAGAGCTACATATCCCTGCTGTATAGAAATACTTTGCGTTACATGTTCATAGTAGCAATCAATTGGAAACATATGAATATAAGATATGCGTATCTTTTTTAAAAATACAGACATATGTCCAGGCATATTCATAGAAATAAAACCTGGTCAGTTGATCCATTTAATCAAACTTTACCTATACCATGTAGCATCTCATCGGGATCCTAAGCAAAGGTCTTTTCTACATGCTGAAATTATAATCCCTAAAATTCCCAATCAGCATAGCCAACTGGATTAAAACTTTGGGAATTATAAGCTGTTATGTATTCTTGAAATACCATGTGAGTGTTCCAGTTTAAGTGTCACTCCCTGTCAGTGTCATTCAAAGGAAAATGTAAAGTCTTGATACATGTGAAAGCCTGTGTGTGGGCACTAGATTGGGAAAGGCTACTATCACTTTTTGCTCAATCTCTAAATTGTTTGCTGAGCTATCTACTGCAATGTTACACTGGGATTCCTATTGGCTAGAGATTATGGTTTCCATTTCATTACTTAAA